GTGCCCTTGGGAGGAGAGGTTTCTTGTTGTTCTTCAAGTGTCTCATTTACTTCGCCCACCGAACCTTTGTTTGATTCCTTATTAAATGCAGGTTGGTTCGAAGGGGTGCTGGTACTCACAGGGATTGTGTGCTTAACGCTTGATTGTGTTGCACCACCCGCGCCATCCTGCAAAAGAAATTGAATTATGATAAGTTGAGAAGAAGATAATTTGAAAATTAGTTAAAGAATTCGAAGGAAATTTTATTACCTTAAGACCTTCGACACCTGGGCTGGAATTATCACTTTCTTCTTGCTCAGGGGTTCTTTTGGTGACAGAATCAGGACTAACATTTATTATCTTGGGATTAATCGACGACTTGTTTTTTATTTTTATGATAGTGGATTTTGGTTGGGAGGTAGCATCAAAGACCTTTGCCTTATTCTTTTTCTTGGGAATTCTAGAAGTATCTGGCGAGAGATCTCCATCTAATTCAACTATTTGGAATTGAGGTTCTTTAACCTTACGCTTCTTGGGTGTAGGAGATCGTTTTCGATTAACTTGGAGAAAAACATAGACATTAGCATATGAGAATGATATATTAATCGAAAATGAGAAGAACACAAAGTGTACTTTTATTGTTGTTGCCATAACAGCTTCTTCGTCATGGCCTTCATCCTTGGCAAGGCTAGCAGTTTTCTTTGTTGGGGCTTTGGCTGGTTGCTTTTGTTTGACAGCTAGAAAGTATAAGTAAAAACAATTGCCATAAACAGAAGAGATGTCAAGAAAACTGTTAGAAAAGAAAGTAAGTTAAAAGGAAATCCTTCTATTCCACACCTTCAAGTATGGGAGAGAGTACTTGAACATCCTCTATGCCAATATGAAGATGTCCTTTGAAACTGTCCAAATTATGCTTAGTCGGAACCACCCGTTTTGCCATTTTTTGAGATTCTTATTGAAGGATTTTCACAAAGTCTCCATAGACGAACCAGTCGGGAAACGGAAGGCTAAAAGCCACACCAAAATTAGCTGTTGACAGTCGAGGCAACCTTGGAGAATATAAGTTAAAAGTGAACTCATACTTTTGTTCGTGTTTAACATATGAAGGCAATTTTAAATCTGGGACTTTTTGCATAAATTTTTCATTTAAAGTGATTGTTGTTTCACGAATGGTTCGATTAAGGTCATCAGGTCGATAGGCAATTTCAAAGTATTTTTTAAATCTTTGAATTCCCTTGATGTGAGTTGAAGTACCTTTCTTGGTTTTTTCTTATATAAGAGCAAAAACAGATGTTAAATGTTTATTGAAAGCATTAACGTCGAACATTTCTGTAAGATAGTATTGCTTCCACTAAGTGTCATATTCTTTGGAACCAAAATAGGATGGTATGAAAGGAATAAGAGTAAGTTGAGTATTTCTAAAGTAACGAGTTATTTCTTCTATGCATTCAGCTTCTATGTGATGCATGTTGTAAAGAATGACTTTATCTTTCCTTGAAAAAAGGGGCTTGGGTAAGATTTAGTTAATTCCAAATTGTCGAAAGATAAGGTTTGGTTGTTAATTGAGAAGGACTAGTTGATTTCTGGAGGGTCGAAGTCTGGTCGCAATTAGTTTGGGTGTAAGGAAGGCGTCCCATATGGCTATGGATTATGCTTCTTGGTCTTTTGACATCGGAGGAAACTTTCAAGTAAACCATTTTGGACCATGAGTCTTTTTGGCGAAGGGAGCCATATAAGGAGTAAAATGATAACACTTGGCATACATCATTAAATACTCAGTAAAGTTTTTCTGAAGATTTAAACCTTTGTTGCTATGAGTCACATGGACAAGGTGTGCCCTTTCGACTCGTATGTTCTTGATTTCATCACTTTCTTCATTGATTATCTTGCGAGTCTATAGTGAGGGTTTGAAGGTGGCATTAAGCCACAACTGAAGTAACTAGAATGGACCAGCTAGATTAAATTCAACCTAATTTGAATGCTTTTGAGAAGTGTCACACTTTCTCCTAAGGATTCATATAAGCAACCCAGGATCATTTGGCCGAGGCAGAGTTTTCAACCAGCATGTAATTGGTTAGCCATAGCCAGAAACTTTTTTGCTACCTGTAAAGATCTCGAGCAAAAAACGCAGCGGGATAACTAGAGAGCTAGGAAAGCAATATGTTCTTCGGCAGATACTTCTTCAGTATCTTTCTTGTAATGGTCGGAAATGTAATTGGTGAAAGTGGCTTGATTTCCATCAAAGCCAACAGTGTCTTCTGTCATTAGGTTTGGATCAAAAGACTCTCATGTGGGTCGAAGGTCAGTAATGACAGCTATGTCAAAGAGAGTGTGGGTTAGCGTTCCACAAGGGAAGTGGAAGTTGTTGTGTGTGTTGTCCCAGAAATATAAGGAAGTGAGTAGTGTGGTTTGGTAGTAACCGGGTCCATATTTCGACAGGTGGATCATGTCGAAAATTTCTATTTCTTTCTAAAACTCAGTTTTCTTCTTTTCTATCTTCGTCAGTCAAGATAGATAGTTCTCAGGATCTTTTGACAAGGGGAAAGAGCAAAATACTCTAAGAGAATTGCACGTGTAATCTAAATTAATGGTGTTTTCTTCATGTTCAGTCGAAGACGTGGCCTGGGTGTCAGTTTCCTTACGTGGTTCAAAAGTTTTGGTTTCGGTAGCAGTTTTAGATTTTCTCCTATTGCTATGGGTTTATACCTATGATAGGTTGGGAAGAATTCCATAAGTTTCATAGCATTTGTTTCAACATCTGGTAAAGGATCGGGAAAAGCATATATTTTTCCAGAAATTGAAATAGGGATAAGTACCTAGGATTGATAAATTCGCCTTTTTTCTTCCTCAAGGGGAGGTTCTGGAACGTATTGTTGATTACCTACAATTTGAGGGTCGATAATTGTGTGAATAGGACGAAGAACTGGTTGTTTCTTAGCATCCTTAGGAAGAATTGTTGTTTTCTTGGACGCCATTGATGATTGAAGTTGAAAGTGACTTGAGTTTGTTGAGTGTGCTTGTTAGAAGATGAACAAATGTTTTTGTGCTTTGGAGAGAGAAGAAAGATCAGAAGTGTAAAAAAGTAAAAAGGAAACGAAATAAAGTATTTATAGTGGAAAAGTGAGACGCTTCATTTCAGCCATTATGAGTAGTGGTTAAGATCGTGGGACACGTGCTAGCTGGTTATGGATGGACGGGACGATTGCAGATGATAGCCCACTACTTCCTAGAAAATAGGAATATGATGATTATTTTTTGAGTTTCTGCAGATCTCGTTGAGACCTCTAAAGCGGCGTGGTCATGATAACCTTGACGTCACAGCAGTAATGTGCAGTAGTGTCGAAAAAGTTTCAAAAAATGTCTTTTTCTCTTTATAATCAAAAATGGCATTTTTGGAGGACAATTTGTTGACTAGGATTTCGACACTCATTAATGTTGGAAGTAAGTTAGGAGATTGCAAGGCCGTATTTTGAAGAACATGATGATTTCGACAACAAATTGTGGCAAGGATGTTTCGGCGAAAGTGAAGTTTTGAAATGAGTTGTTGGTGTTGAAGTATTATTTTGAGAAAGAATGTTGTTTTCAACAAGAGAGTATTTGAGAGTCTAGTCGAAGAAATCTATGTATGGAGGACTCTATGGTTTAGGACTTAGAAAGATTTTTGGCCTAGATTGGAGTTCGACGACGTTCACTGGGAGAAGCGTTCGACGGATGGAATTCAAATGAGACAGATAACTACTTTTTGACCTTATTCGTTCTCAAGACACGTGGAAAGCTTTGAAGCGACAAAACGCGTGCAGACTAAAGACGTAGCATTTTCTGACAAGACCGTAAGATGACAGTTATTTTCGATTTAGTATAAATAGAACACTTAGCATTTAGAATATGTGTGTTCAACGATTGTACAAAAACTCTAAATTTTACTCTCAATACCTGCGTGTGAGAAAAGAATGCTCTTGAGAGAAATGTATGTTTGAATATCATACCTTGTAATCAAATTCATTTAAATTTCAGTCATTTATCTTTACTTGCAATTTACTCCTGCAATTTACTTTTCTGTACTTAAAAAAAATCACAACATTCAAGTATGACTTTAAAACATATTTGAAGAACATTGTCTAAATATTCATAATCAATAAACCCAAAAACTAAATAACAACACATGCTCTAAGATCAATCTAGTTGATCCAATAAGTGACCAAAAATTCAATAACTTTTTGAGAACTAACAATTATTTACCAATTTTGGCAGTGAACAATTAATCTAGCGAAGTCAACGTACTTGTTAAATTATTGAACTACATGAAATTTATTTGATAGATGTTAATTTATGTGACATTGAAACATAGGTCAAACTGGCTCATAGGACCATATAGCTTATTGATAATTGAATTAAGATCAATTTTATTAGTTCATAAAACAATCATGACAACCCACTTCTGGCTGACCCTTTCCTGGCCCCTACAATCAAGCAACCTCACCAATGTGAATGAAAGAAAGGGCAGGCACCACATACATCTCAACTAGTTCATGCCTGCAAAGCAAACAAAAACCTCTTTTTAATTCTTATTCCGACTCCAAAATTCAAATATTTGGTTGCTTTGTACTCAACTCATGTGATGTGGTTTGGCTTGTTGCGCACCTCACTTAACCAAACATATCGAAGAATAATAAGTTATACTAGATCTAATTTTAAAAACCATAGTTTAACCATTTTGTCATCCTTAACAGAAGTAACCCTTTTTATACCTAGATGTAACTTAATAAAACATTGCAAGGAAAACTATTAAATACTTGTAAATTATGATTATAAATTCTCAAATACATTTATACCTAAATGCAAACACTTCCCTACATGCAATACAATACATGACCAAGCAATGCAAACATATAAAATCAACAAAGTAAACTCTATACAATACATAATTCATAATTCTAGACAACTGTTGCCTCTTTCACTTGTGGTGAAGTTCTGTAGTAAATTGATTTGTTAATGCCGAAAGGTGCAAATCTAAGGTGTAGTTAACTTCCACAGGCCAAACAGTCATCTCTGTTTGTCAAAGAGCACACCATCTGTGCCATCTTGGCATCTTCATCAAGTTCAGCCTCCTCTGCCTTTGCTTGCTCCTGCAATCACAATCATTTAACATCAAAATGTACCAACACAATTCAATAGAATGGAAAGATTGATCAAAATAAAAGGTCAATTACTTTAATGGCAGAGGTATCAACAGTAAACTTGATGGCATCACTTGCAGCTCGGGTACGGAGGTAGTACATCCCAGTTTTCAAACCCTTAAGACAAAATTGAAAGTGATGATAGCATCAATCAGCAAACAGTTGGTCTAAATTCCCCAGCAATAAATTTCAAGGGAAAAATACAGATGAGTTAACATCCTCCAATATGAAAAGTTAATACCTTTGACCATGCATAGAAATGCAAGGAAGTTAACTTTCCAAAGTTAGGTTTATCCATGTGTATATTTAAGCTTTGACTCTGATCTATGTAGCATCCTCGATCAACAGCCATGTCAACCAATATCTTTTGCTTGATCTCCCAAACAGTTCTGATAATTTAAGAGAGTTAGCATAAAATGATTAGAATCAAGTTACTGTCATGTAGAAATTCACAAATCCGTACTTGTATATGCCTTTCAGTTCAGCTGGTATTTCTGAGAGATTTTGTACTGAACCATTGTCATAGATAATCTTATTCTTAAGTGCAGGATTCCACAGTCCCATTTCAGTCAAATCATGAAGAAGGTGCTTGTTCACTACAACAAACTCGCCACTGAAAGATAGAGAGTGTAATAAGCAACACAAAGCCATACCAATATATACATTAACATGGGTTAGCAATATACCTTAACACTCTGCGATTGTAGATATTAGACGTATATGGCTCAAAACACTCATTATTGCCAAGAATTTGACTGGTGGATGCAGTTGGCATAGGGGCAACAAGAAGTGAATTACGCACACCTGTCTTTGAGATCATCTCCCGAAGTGCACTCCAATCCCACAAATTGGAGGGTGTCACACCCCACATGTCAGGCTGAAGAATTCCCTGCACACACAAGAAATCACCTAAGCAACCATAAATATTTTGGATACTAAGCATATCTGATTTTAAGCCTGATAGATAAGTTGAATATGTGTGTGCATCTGGGACTACCACAATAGAAGGGTATGAAAACAAACACCTCTCTGAAGAACATACCTTGCTTACAGGACTACCATTATATGTTTCATAGGTGCCTTCCTTTGCAGCCAATTCACAGGAAGTTTTTAAAGCATGATAGTATATAGTCTCAAAAATGTCTTTGTTTAACTGTTGAGCCTGCACTCCATATACATTTAAACTATCAAATTGAAGAGCATTTAGTCTAAACTATACCTATAAAAGAAACCTTATAAGCATTATTTACCTCTGGGGAATCAAATGCCATTCCAAGAAGGATAAAGGTATCAGCAAGACCCTGAACTCCAATACCAATGGGTCTGTGTCGCATGTTTGATCTTTCCGCAGTTTCAACTGGGTAGTAGTTCACATCAATTATTTTATTAAGGTTTGTTGTCACTACAGCAGTAACCTGTACTTGGCATCAAAAAAGAACTATCACGAGGCTAGACATAAAAAAGTTGTGCCAAAAACAATTTCACTGCTGAAACATCAAATAAAAAACAGTAAAAAGCTGTGTACCTCTGCAAGTTTTTCAAAGTCAAAATATCGAGTACTAGAACCTCTGCTCCCAACAAGCTTAGACTGATGAGACTCCACAGGCACACCCTATACAAGAGGCAAATAAACATTCAAAATCACAAATAGCAAGCTTACAGAGAAATCAAACAAACTCGGGTCTAAGTGTAAAACATGCAGTGTACCAGGGGTCTCATCATACCTTATCTCTGACATATCGTGGTAGTGCAATTGATGCAAGATTACACACAGCAGTCTCTGTTGGACTTGTGTACTCAATTATCTCAGTGCACAGGTTTGATGACTTAATTGTGCCAAGATTCTGCTGGTTGCTTTTCCTATTGCAAGCATCCTATAATATAAAAAAGCAAAATTATGTACAAAAAAATAAAAGGTAAGCAAATAGGTATTAAAAGAAGCTTGGATATATTTAAAATAACTATTATCAAATCACCTTAAAAAGCATGTAAGGATTTCCAGTTTCTATCTGTGACTTCAAAATTGCAAACCAGAGACTCTGTGCTTGAACAACCTTCTTAGCTTTTCCCTGTGGATTTGATAGAGAAATAACAAAGCAATAATCATTAAAAGATGTATCCTTGCTGAAATATCCAAAACAACCATGCTTAGTAAGACCAGACTTACAGCTTTTTCATACTGGGTGTACAGATTCTCATATTCTTTACCCCAACAGTCAGCTAAACCAGGTGCCTCATTGGGGCAAAACAAGGACCAATCACCATTGCCCCGAACTCTTTCCATAAAAAGATCAGGCACCCAAAGAGCATAAAATAAATCCCGAGCACGCTGCTCTTCCTGTATAATTAACACAAATATATAATGGTCATAATAAAATAAAATAAAATAAATTCAACTAGCATATACTAAAAGCTAGAGGTATACTAAATTATAAGTATGGAAGCAAATTGTTACCATCTCTTACCTTTCCATGGTTTATTTTCAATTCCAAGAATTCAAATATATCAGCATGCCATGGCTCCAAGTATACAGCAAAAGCACCTACAACAATCACATAAAACGTGTAAGTAACAGTACTCAACAAAAATTCATCAAATTAGGGATTCACAAAAAATAACTCAATGTTTACCTTTTCTCTTGCCTCCTCCCTGATCAACATAACGGGCAGTGTCATTGAACACACGCAGCATTGGAATGATACCATTAGATGTCCCATTTGTCCCACGAATGTAACTTCCATATGCCCTTATATTATGAACAGAAACACCAATTCCTCCAGCAGATTTACTAATGACAGCACACTCCTTCAATGTATCATAAATCCCCTCAATACTATCATCTTTCATGCATATCAAGAAGCAACTGCTCAACTGCAAAAGAATACAAAATAGCCAAACTAAATTAGATCCAAAATTTACATTACCAAAAAGAGTAACAACAATAACAATTGTATACACACACCTGAGGCCGAGGAGTCCCAGCATTGAAAAGAGTTGGAGAAGCATGAGTAAACCACCTCTGAGACATCAGATGATAAGTCTTAACAGCAGATTCAATATCATGCTTGTGAATTCCAACAGAAACCCTCATTATCATATGTTGAGGCCTTTCAACAACAGTCCCATCAACTTTCAACAGATAAGACCTCTCGAGGGTTTTGAACCCAAAGTAATCATAGTCAAAATCCCTGTCATAAATTATCTCACTGTCCAATCGAGCCGCATTCTAAACCAAAATCAAAAACAAAAAGTGAATTCCACAACAAAAAAGAATCCCCTAAATAAACCATTTCAAAATAACAGTGTGTACCTCCATGATTATTTCATAGACATCATCAGCAATCAAAGGAGCTTTCTTCCCAGATCTAGTGTTGAAATGATTGTACATAATCTTCACACTGAAAAACATAATAATTAAACTAAATAAACATCACAAAACAGTCCGAAAATTAATCAAACTCAAAATTCACTAATTCTAAACAATACTCACGTTTCCGAAAACGACTTTTTAGTGTTCTTATGCAGATTCGAAACGGCAATCCTAGCAGCAAGCTAAATCAAACAACAAACAACAACAACAACAACAAAAATCACAATCGGACAACGATAATGGTGAGAAACAAAAGAACCCTAAAAACGGCAGGAAAACTTACAGAAGCATAATCAGGGTGGTTAGCAGTCATGCCGGCGGCGGTTTCAGCGGCCAATTCATCGAGTTGACTAGTAGTCACACCTCTGTAAACACCGGCACAAACCTTCTGAGAAACCAAAACCGGGTCACAATGCTCAGTGCTCAAACCGTAACTGAGTTTCTTCAACCGCGCCGTAATCTTATCGAAATGAACAGTCTCTTGACGTCCGTCTCTCTTAACGACGTACATCTTGTATTGATTAGAAAAGTTTTGGTTGGGGAATTTGGTCGAACAGTTTTGGCGCAAGAGTGAAGAGATAGGTGTGTGAGAAATGAAAACTAGGGTTGTTGTGTATTTATGGTTGGGGGAAATAGTGTGTGTGGGGTAGTAAATGAGTTCCCTCTAAAATGCGTGGGTTTTGAAAATGTTCCCGCGAGATTGGAAATTTTAGGAGGTTGAAAATTGAAACGAAAATGGGTGTGGGGTAAAGGTAGGTGTGGTTGATTTGCGGTGGTGTGATAAGGAAGCTATTGTTATTGATAGGGGACCAGTACCACGTGATTATTTAAATTTAAAGCGAGACGCGCTCTCTTATTGTAAGTTTAGGTTTTGTTTATTGTTCGGCGCGCGATTTGTGTATGATTCTCTTTTCTTCTTGTGAAAGAGTCCATGATACGTCACTTGTCTCTTCTTCTTATGAAAGAGTATAGTCTGTTTTTACATGCCTAGTCATTTATTACTGGGTGTATCAAAAATTATATACATAATAAAATGATAAAGCTATGCTATTTTTACACTTATTTTTTACACTAAATATTTATATCAAATACTGTGTTTATTGTATTTATACGGTGAACAGTATTTTTATTTTTTAATAAATAAAAATAATATTTATAATATGTGAACAGTGTATTTAAAATAGTGAAATAAAATTGGTTAATAAAATATAAAAAAGTTGGTTAATGAAGTGATGAAGTTGGTTAATAAACGTTCAAATATTAAAAATAATTTTTAGCAATAAATTAAAATTGATTAATGAAATGTAAAGAATTGATTAATGAAATTATGAAGTTGATTAATACGCGTCCAGATATTAAAAATAATCTTTAATAGTCAATAAAATTGATTAATACAATGTATAAGATTGGTTAATAAAATTATAAAGTTGGTTAATCATATAATTTTATATCAATATGATTTAATTTAAAAATTAAAAAATATATTAAAATAATTATTTTTTATTTTTTATTAAAAAAATTATATTATTATAATATTTTACTATTTACCGTATAGATAAACGGTAAAATACGATGATGTAGGTATAAGAATAGCATTTTTGAAAATGATAAGATTGTATCCATAGTTTTAAGTTTTAGTGGAGAAAAAATTGTTCTACTTAAGGGGTGATGTGGAATGTTTGATTTGGTATTTTAAACTTTGCACATGAAAATAAATTACTTGACATTATTGATAAATAATGTTATTGGGATTTCAAATTACTTTCGCTTTGTCACTGCTTTGTAATAAAGGTTGTAGTTTCTTTTAGAAGAATAAAGGTTTTAGTTATAACAATTGAATATTTTATTATTATAATAAATTAAAACTATATATTAAGATCAACTATTTGTTCGACGTTCCATTTATCTAGGAAAGAATTATAAGTAGGCTATTATTATCTAAAACAATTATAGGTCAAATATTTTATTATGTCTAAAAATCATAAATGTTAGTGTAGATTTTTGAAGTCAATTGCACGGAGGTGGAGGTGGATTTATTAGGTTAATATTTTAACTCTCAAATGAATGAACGAAGAATGATAGAGTAAAATATGAATAGAATCATATATTTTTACTACAGTGTCTATATCATGGGTGACAATTATGTTTATGCAATATTGGGCATGTAGTCGGTCCAAAATAGTTGTCCTTAAGTTTTGTCGTGGCATGATGTATGCGAAATCTTTCAAAGAATTTGGTCGGATATCTTTAGTTGGGATCTTGTATTATGAAATGGAAGATATTTAGGGACAACGACATTAAATGTTAGTCTCATCATTGAGACGTTTTGCGGATTTCCTTCCATATATGGCCTTAGGTTCGTAGGTTATAGCGTGGCATTTTTTCCTATGGTGCTCGAGTATACTCAAGTGTTGTTATATTTTTGAGGTGAAATCTGACTGTCGTTTAACTTTCCATTTTTCTTCATTTTGCATTGTTGATTTATCCATCATGCTCCCATATATAAAGGTTGATTTGGCCTTTCAAATAATTTTCATTCTCTTTCACAATTTAGACTTACGTTTCTTTCCAACGATCGGTCTGCTTCAATGGTCAATGGTAATACTAAGACGGGTTGGGATGAAAATCCTACAAAGGAAGAAGTTCGAAACATGAGGTCCAAATAATCCAACTATAGGATTAACGCGACTCAATTCTCTTGACTATTGGATGACCTGTGGACTTATGTGCTTGCACGTATGAAGTTAATGATCTTGTTGAGAGCCTTTCTAGTGTTTTAATGATGACAACACCAATGATTGTTAAAGTCAGTGTTAATAGTTTTCCAATTATCTAATGGTGGCGACCAAACTTGAAGTTGTCTCAAGCCTCAACAAGAAATAAACTCAATATTTCATTAAAGTGTTTATATGATTGATGTATTTAAAAAATAATCTTGGAATCATCAGAGTTGTTAAAGATAGGAAGTGTGAAAGCTTGCTAGGTTACGCCTATTCGAGGAACTAGAGCTTTGTGAAAGTATAGGAGTAACTATTATGATACTAAGGCAACTCACTCACTCACACGCACGCGCACACACGCACTCACGCAAACGTACATGCACGTGCGCACACGCACACACACATACACACGTGCATACACACACGCACACACACACGCACACGCACACGAACACGCACGCACACACACACGTACGCACACGAACACGCACGCACACACACACGTACGCACACGAACACGCACACGCGCACACGCACATATGTTTTGAAATTGAACAGTTTTTAAAGAAGTATATCAAAGTCGTTTAAACACGCATTTTTTAGGTCTTTTTGGGATGTAATGAGGCTTATGTCAAGGTAGAATAATTTGGGAGAGTATGCTTAAACCTTTGGAGATAGGTACCTAGTTTTCCTTATTTTATTAAATTCTACCTTTGTGTGTGTGTGTGTGTGTGTGTGTGTGTATTCAGAGTTTATAACAAAAAAAATGCATGGATTCAACCACTGACTCAAAAAGTCTCAGAGTTTATAACAAAAAATTACCTCAGTGTGTTTGTATTCAGCCAATAAACTAATCCAGAAATGTCAAAAATTATATAAAACACAATTGCATGGATACAATCTATGGAAGAAAAAATAAACAATAGAATAATTTAGATCAAACCTTACTATTTAAGGTATCTGGAGATTCAGTACCACCTGATTGGACATCTAAAACAAACTATTGAAATTAGAGCTTCGTCCAAAACTAGAAAATCATCATATTGCTTATTATTCTTTTCCCACATATATTTTTCATCTCAGACTCTTTTATTCTTAACTAAATTTTTTCATTAGATGTTGTGCATTCTTTTTTTTTCTTTTTCAACTCCCCCTTTATCGACTACTTCTCATTCTTCTTCTATTTCTATCACAACTTCATTATCCCTATGATTATCCAAAATATTCACATAAGAACCTCCACTTGATTAAGCCACCACTTGTTTAAATAACTAGTTAATGTGATTTTCCATACTCTTCATTTATGCTTCAATGTTTTTGTGGGATACTTCAATGTTCTTGTTAGATGCTTCAATATTTTTGTCCATTGCTTCAGAGTTGTTTTCAATAGATTTCGTGAATCTGTTCAAAGTCCCTTCTAGAGGAGATGACATATTTGGTGGTGGATTGTTATGAGCTGCTTGATTAAAATTTTGAATTTGAGTGTTACTCTAGTCAATAGTTGAATGATAATCGCACCATGGATTATTGTTATTGAAGTAAGGATATGGCTTATTTATAGAATGATGCATTTCCCCAACGTATCTGACTAGTACATAATGGTTATTTGCATGACCTCCTTCATATTAATCACGCTGAAATACTCTAACTTGATTAGCATTTGTTTGAGCTAAAGTTTAGGCATCCAACTACTTTGACAAAACTGGAGTTTTGCTAACATATCAAGATAAACATTATGCTCCATCATATATGTCTTCCTTTACCTCACATACAATATCAAAAGAAAAATACTTTAATAGCACTCAACTAGATAAAAACTAAATAAGAATTTAAAAAAATAAAGATAAACATATAAAAATAAAAAATATATATAAATAATAATAATAATAATAATAATAATAATAATAATAATAATAATAATAATAATAATAACTAAACCCTAAAAATAAAATTAAAATAAACCTAATAAAAAAACAACATTCGCACAAAAAATTGTCTTACTGAAATTTGCAATCCCCAACGATGGCGCCAATAACTTGTTGGCTTATCGGCAAGTGTATTGATAGTGTCGAAGTAATAATACAACTCACTAATTTTTACTAGTGACTTCTTATCGATATTCGGTCAACAAAAGTGAAAGTAGGCGTTGTTATAGTACGTTAACTCAAAAGTCACTACTAGTTGTATCATATTCATATTCAATCGACGAAAGTAGAATAATTTCTCTAGTTCATATTCATATGCTTGGTGTCAATAACCCATACTCATCTAATATCAAATTATCAGCGCGTCCACAAATAATGATCATTAAGCACAAGAACAATTAAATAGAAATTATAACTTCAATCATTCAAATAGCATCAAACTAAACACATGACCCAGCAGGTTCATTACAAGTTCATGTACAACCACACCACAAACTCATCAAACAAGCTATCTTTTCTGACCTAAACCAAAAACACAACCGCCTGCGGTCAAATCATCACTTTAACCATGCAAAACTCCACCTCCTCTATTTTACGACACATAATCTCGCTTGAACAAGGCTATGTCATAGTACTGAGCATGGAAGAAAGAGGAAACAAAATAGTGCAAAAAGAACACATGATGAAGATGAACTCGCATGCTTCATGAATGACAGTCACTAGCTGGCAGAATTCACATTTTGACTCTCAACATATTCACCTCTTATGTTTGCATTCCGCTTCCACTGCCTTCAACAAATTAGTTTACTTCTTAATTTCTTTTGATTGTTGGTCATTCTTGTTGATTCATGGTGTGTTTAATTACG